GGCAAAATGGTCATTTTTAGGGTTTTGACTATAAAAGGGCAATTTCTGGCTTTTGACCTAGCCAATGGAAAATTGGGTTCAAGCATGGATTCAAGGACTCAATGGCATCATCTTGACCTATTCACAAGGTTCAAAAGATCTCAAATGCATTGGATTGACAGATGAATTTTTCAGTCAATTGATAAAAATTTGACTGTACACTGAAAAGTCAAACTTTGACTTTTTGGTCAAAATCAAGTGCCAAGGGTCATTTTTAATCAAGATGTGTGAAAACATGAAACTTGTTCATCAAGAAACCCAATTTTGCAAATTAGGGTTTAAGATTGAAAAATTTCATAACTTAGAATTTTTCTAAGTTATGAAATTTTCTTAATTTTTCCCAACTTTGCCCAACATTTTCACCATGATGCAATTGAATTAAAACAAAACTTCCAACATGAAAGTTGTAGTCCTCCACAAAGTCTACAACTTTAATTCACAAAGTTTTCCCAAAAGAATCTTGGATCTCAAGTTATGATTTTTGGAACAAGGGTCCATGAAACTTTTAACTTAATGACATTTTGTCCTAGTTTAGGCAGGACTTTGACCTATCTTCTTGGAAATTTTTCACCTAGTTCCACTTGTATTCTCAAAATGCATTTCAAAGATGTATTGTAGATAATGTTGAAATCTTTCCAAAAAGTCCAAGAACTCTCCAAAATCATTTGTGGTTAGGGAGAATCGAAAGCTTGAAGTTGGCAAAAACTCACTTTTGATCCATGGCATTTTCTTAGTGATACAAGTTGCAAACTCTAATCAGCTTGCTTTGCACTAGATTACAGGCCTCAAAACCATTCCATACTCAATAATTAAATGCAAATACATTGGTCTAAGGATTTGTTTTGGTCATTAGAAGATTATACAATAGATTAATCCTTAAGTAGAAAAAGGTACATTACCATTTTTGTCATAATCTTGCTTTATGTAAAACCACATCCCTTGAGCATTGAACCATATCTCGTGCAGAAAATCAAATCCACAAACTTGAGGGGCCAAGAGCATAGTGTGCAAGCTGATAGATAGCCTGTACAGGCCTGCTTTGCATCACTTGTCCACTTTTGCTTCATATACAAGAAACATGTTAAAATTCACATAACTTGAACATCAGAGAGAACCAACTTGTGCAAGCTTTTGAGACAATTTTTACACATTGTATTGAACCTAAAACACGAGCCTTTGAGTCCTGAAACCTCCCATAGCACAAAATCACCTTCCATTGGCAAAACAGGGCACTCCCTGCAGTTTGATTTCCATAGCACAAATCCCTCGTGCGTTTTGTCTCAAATTGGTTCAAACACCTTCCATATAACCTATCCAAGCTATCCCAACCCTTAAACACTGACTGTAACTCCATTTACAGGGTTTGCCATTTTTGATTTCAGCTTGTGCAGGTTGAGTTTTACAGGCTTGTTCAAGCACATTGGGGAAGGTCAGAGGACGTTCAAGCAAGCTCCCAAACATCTCAGGCCTCACTGAAAAGCTCCACATTGACATACACGAAGTCAACTGAAACAGGTTTTTGTCAACTTCCTATCTCCCTATTTAGTAATAATTAGGCTTAGGTTTATGAATAAAAAATGTAGTATTCATAGCCATGCAGCTGTACATATGCTCAGTTTTCATTTAAATTAATCGTGCAAAGAAAATTTGATCCATGAACTTTCTGAAAAAGTTAGGTTAGAAATTAGGGCCAGAGAAATTCTCTCTGGTCTTTGAGAGTTAGAATGAGTTCTTTACATGGTTGGATTCGTCTTGAAAAATGCTACAACTTTGATGTTTTGAGTTTTTGCATTAGAGCACGTATGCAGGATCTGGCATTTGATACAGGGCGCGCGCGTTTTTGAACCAAGGTTGAAGATGAAGTCTGGCTTTGGGCTGGGCTTTGGCTTTTTGCTTTTGACACCCCCCTTTTGCTGAATGCACCCCCTGGCCCATTTCTTCATATTTTTGTATTTTTCCATTTTATTTTCATTTCTGATTTTATTTTATTATTTTTGAACATAAAAAAAAAACCAAAATATTTTTATTAATATTCACATTTTATTTTTATATTTTTGTTTTATTTTTCTAACATGAAAATTTTTTAGTTAATAAATACTTATTATTTCTTTAATTAAAACAAATAAACATTTTAGAGATATTGTATATTTTTATTTTATTATTTATAGATATAAAAATAATACTTTTTCTAAATATATTTCATTTTTGTATATACATTATTTTATTTCATTATACATATAAATAGTATATTTAATATATTTACATTCTTAAAAGAAAATTAGGGTTTTACCCTTAATAAAAAATGTATATAATTTTTTATTTCTTGTTTATATATACACTAAATATTTTTTACATACATAAAAAAAAATAAACGTAAACATTTTTGCATATTCATAATATTTTGTATATTTATTTAATTTGTTTATTTAAATATTATTCATTTATTATTTATGCCATTTATTCAATTTAGATGTAATAGTGAAATTAGGGTTTTAATTTCTTGCAAATATCCCCCATTCAAAAATTGTATCCCCCTCCCCATAATCATGTTGTAATAGTGGTAGATTCATTTTACGCATTTACGCTTTCAATTATGCCATGATTAGAGATTAGGGTTTGTATGCAAAAATCCAAAATCAAACAAATAGCTTGACTAATACAAAGACATAAATGCATGAAAATGATAACACATTGCACACTTGCACCCCTAAGGTTTCATCCACTTGTTGCCTTTAAAAAAGGGCCATGTTATGCATGTTGAGTACTTTGGCAAAACAAAAACAAAATAAAAGATCATAGTCCCTCGATGATGCTATCTTGGTTGCCTACACAAAATGATCTAGTCCCTCAAAAAATTGCTAAAGATACTTGGCAATATTGCTATCATGGTCAATACGATGATCCGCGCCTGTCCCGTTTAACATCCTAATACAAGGTTGTTTACCAAATACAATGGTAAAACAACACTGTCAAAAGGGTTAAAAACGTGTAGGAAATACCTTTGAGTAAAATGGGGTAGATAACTCTTAGTTACTTGATCAAAACTTGCAAAACATCCTTGCTATTTTCAAACACACCTCACAACACAATTTCAAAACATTTCCCAAAAACAAACTTTCAAGCACTGAAATATCTTTTCAAAAGACAAAAACCTTTGTATATATTCAAACAAGAATCATTACAAAGGTTGCCACAACGATGACCTCTTTTTCAAATCATTTTCAAAACCACACACAAAGCACCATTTCAAACAATTGAAAAGCAAAAGCAAGTGATCTAAACAAGTAACTAAGAGCCCATGGATAACCATGGATGAAAAGGGTGCTTTCACCTTCCCTTTTCATAATCTACCCCCCCGAACCCAAGAAAACATCTCAAAGGTCTTTCCTGTGCTTTTTGACCTTTCCTTTGGATAAAATAAAAAGTCGGTGGCGACTCTTGCTAAACCGAAATATTTGCGAACACAAACGCAAAACCTCAAGTCAGTTCTCCCACCGTACCATAGGGAGGATCAAATGAGAATTTCTCATTACAATAATAAGAAATTTTACCCCAATATGGATCACTTTTTTGGTTTCTCCCAACAACACTGTCTGTTCCATATTTAATCCATCCATTAATTAGAACCAAATTTTGATCAGTGCTCCATTTGGGGCTTTTCCGATGAATAAGAGTTGAATCCTCTGCATTTGGAGTGGCTCCATGACCACCACTCATGCCACCAAGAGCCGTTTGTGTAGAAAAATCAAGAAATTCATCAAGTCCAACATTAGGAACATTTTCATTTCCCATTGGAGTAGAAGAATAATAAGGTGGTGCTTGAGATGAATATGACATCATAGATCCATAATATGGACGATAGTTTGGATTAGATGACGACATTATGAAATTTGGTATATTTTGGGGACCTTGTTGGTTGGAAGATTGATTTTGAAATATATAGTTGGGATTTGGGTAGTTGAAAGGATAATTAGTAGAATTTTGGGTGTTAAGAGGGTTATTGTTGGGATTCATTTCACTAAAAAATTGTTTAGAGCTACAAACAATAATTTATTAGAGGCTAAATAGAAAAGCTAGAGAGAAAAAAAATAGATTTTTGTTCTTTTTCCAAATCAAATGAACTAAGACTCTATTTATTGACAAAAAAAATGATGAATTTTGGTGAAAATAAAAATAAATAAAAATAAAAGTGGCCCCACTCATTTCTCATTCAACATGTTGAATATTTTCAACATAAGTTAATCCATGTCACATTCAACACCTTATTCAACTATTGAAAAATTTATTCAACACCCCCACTACAAGTAGTCTAATGGACTAACCCTAATCAACAATTTCAATTTACAATACAAAATTAACACATATAAGAAGAAATAAAGAAAAAGTATGGAGATAATGAAAACCCGTAAAGCTTGGTGGTGTGATGGTGGTGATACAGCAGAGAGGAAGAAGAAAAAACAATGGTGGTGTCGTATCACTACGCCAAAAATATGTTTTAGCAGCACATAAAAGAAAGCGCTTTTGGAAAAAAGCGCTGCTGTAGGTTTTAAAAAAAATTCGCTTAAAAAAGCGCTTTCAAAGAGTGCCTTAAGAAAGCGCTTTTCAAAAGCGCTTCTAAAGGTCACCCTTAGAAAGCGCTTTTTGGGAAGCGCTGCTAAAGCTGGCCTTTCAGAGGGTACCTTAAGAAAGTGCTTTTCAAAAGTGCTGCTAAAGGTCAGCCTTAGAAAGCGCTTTTCCAAAGCGCTGCTAAAGTTGGCCTTTAGAAAACGCTTTTAACAGCGCTGCTATAGGATATGCTACGAAAGCGCTTTTTGATGTAAAAGCATTGTTATAGATGACCTTTAGAAAGCGCTTTTAAAAGCGCTTTCGTAGGTAGTTTTATAATAAATATCAAAACACAATTTCAATTATTTCCACTATAAAAACAAACCCTAAATCACATTCTTAATCAACATTCAACCATGTCTCGATTTAGCAACAACCTAATCGGACTCCTCAACTTCCTGACCCTGCTCCTCTCAATCCCCATCCTCGTGATGGGCGTATGGCTCCACAAAAAATCCACCAGCGAATGCGAACGCTTCCTCGAGAAGCCAATCATCGCCCTCAGCGTTTTTCTCTTGGTGGTTTCTCTCATGGGATTAATCGGTGCTTGTTGCAGAGTTTCGTGGCTTCTCTGGTTCTACCTCCTCGTCATGTTCTTACTCATCGTTCTTCTTTTCGCTTTCACCATCTTTGCCTTTTTTGTTACTAATAAAGGGGCGGGTGAAGCGGTCTCCAATCGCGGGTATAAGGAGTATAAGCTTGGGGATTATTCGAATTGGTTGCAGAATAAGGTTACGGATGGGGGTAATTGGAAAAGGATTAGAAGCTGTTTGGTGTCCGGGAAGGTTTGTGAGGATTTTCAAGCCAAGTTTGGGAAAGATAGTGTTGAACAATTTCATGCTCAGAAGTTGTCTGCTCTTCAGGTTAGGGTTTTTATCTTTTTTTTATTGAATTGAATTGGATTTCTGTTCTTGATGATTGTTGATTTTCTGGGCTGGGATCAAAATTTTAGCTTGCATGTGATTTTATATTTAGGGTTTTGTAGTTTGAATTTGTGTTCATGATGTGAGTTTTATAGCAATAGTGAGCTCTAAAGCATGGACTCCGAAGGATAATTGACACTGACTCGTTAACACCGATAACAATAAAAAAAATTAATTGTAATCATAAATATCGGTGTCGGATATTCAATCACCGACACATTCACCGACAGACCTTTTTCAGAGAAACTTTATGTCTAGAAATTATGATAATGAATAACAAAGTGATTAGAAAGTTTCTGAATATGTGAGCATGCAGAGATTTCACGTTATAATAGTACTGTAATGCATTCATGTGTTTGTTTTAGGATTAAATAAATTAGATTTAGTTTATAAGGTAGTGCTACTTTATACTTTTGCCTGAGTATTCAATTTCAAGGTATCTTTCTGAAAAGTGGATTTTTGAACTGGGATTTCTGAATAGTTATGGTTTCTTTCTGAAAAGTGTAGACTTTTTCTTATTTTTTTAACTGGGATTGCTTTTCTTTTGAAAAGGGTTGTGTTCTTTATGGAAACAGATTTAAAATGTATCTTTTGTTGAATATTTTTGCATCCCTTTTTGTTACTAGTTTTTTCCCCTTACTGGATTCTAGTGCTATTGGGTTAAAAGTTGATTACCTTTTTAATGTGCACTTTTTTTTCTCCAATGACTAAGAAGCACTGGTTCCTTGTAGCTTTTCCAAACTTTAATATATTTTGCTTCACATTATTGGTGTTATCTAGTGATCAATATTTTCTTTTCTTTCTTCACAGACATTTATATATAAGAATCTTCTTCATGAGGATTTTCAGCTCGGGTACGACGGTCTAAATCAAACAACATTAATTGGATCAAAGTGCAGGTATATTAATTTCCACTATTTTGCTTATAATATTTATGCTATTTGATAAAACAATACAATTATATATTCTTATTTGTTTTTCTTTGTAGTGTCCTCAACACCAAAATGGTATAGATTGCGGATACTTCGTTATGCGGTTTATCAAAGAAATCCTTCAACTGAATCAAATAGAGATTCCAGTCACGATATGGATTTATAACTTAAGATTTGTTTTATTATTTCTCGGATATTTCATATAATTTTTTACTTTTAACTAAATCATGCATATTATGTTTTGTTATGTAGTACTTCGATGAATACAAATGTGCATATTACACGAAACTTCAGTTGGAAGAAATCAAAGAGGAATTGTGTCAATATTTTATTAAGCAGAGAATCATATAAGGTATGAATACATTATTATGTGAAAAGTGTTATGAATACGTTACATGTGTACATGGAATACCATATTGACTGTGTTATTATGTTCAAACCTCGCAGGACCAGGACCTTAATACATAATTGACCGTGTTTCTTTCATACATTAGGACTGGTTTAGTTGTTGTTAGGGTTGATTTTGTAAGACTGATTTTGAGTTACAATGCTGATAATAATGGTTTTTATATATTTTGAGGTACAAAAATGGTGTATATATATTTTGGATTACAATGGTATACAATGCATTACCGCGGTTTATGAATTACAGGTTATGGCAACTGGTTTATATAAATAATATGTTGCAAACAATGCAGGTATATGAATTATATAAATTATACCTCTAAAAAAAACACCCTATGAAAGCGCTTTTTCAAGAAAAACGCTGCCTTAGGTAACCTATGAAAACGCTTTTTCACAAAAAGCGCTGTCTAAGGTAAACATATGACAGCGCTTTTCCAGGCAAAAGCGCTGCTAAAAGACCACCTATGAAAGCGCTTTTCCAGAAAAAAGCGTTGCTAAAAGCCTACCTAAGACAGTGCTTTTCCAGAAAAAAGCGCTGCTAAAAGAAAACTTATGAGAGCGCTTTTCCAGAAAAAAGTGCTGCCTTAGGTAGACCTATGAAAGCGCTTCTTCATAAAAAAGCGCTGCCAAAAGCCTACTTAAGAGAGCGCTTTTTAGAAAAAGTGTTGTATTAGGTAGACCTACGAAAGCGCTTTTCATTAAACAAAAAGCGCTGCTAAAACCTATAGCTGCGCCACCTACGAAAGCGCTTTTAAAGAAAAAAAAAAGCGCTTTCGTAAGTCTTTTTCCGCGTAGTGTATGGAACGAAAAAGAAAGCCTATTTTGCAGTTTTCAACTTTTCCTTTTTCACTGAATAGCGTTTCTGAAGAAACGATGGTACTGCTAGGTTTATGTTTTTTTTTAAATAATAAAAACTCAAAAAATGACCATTTTTTAGTTTTCTTAAAAAAAACATTTCAATCGGTTTAAGAAAACCGCCAGTTTTTCCGGTTTGGAGATTCACACCGGTTTACACTGGTTCCGAGTGGTCTAACAACATGAGCTATCCATCAATTAAACTAGACCGGTTATATGGCCAGTTTTCGATCAACCGGTCCGACCGTGCAGTTCGGTCTGGTTTTTAAAACACTGATTAAAGGGAAAGGATCTTGGTTTTTTTTAATGTAATGTCTATTTTTAAAGGGTTAAATATGTCTAGGGTCTTTATAAATATTCGACCCTGTAATTTTAGTCCTTTAAAATTTTTCTTCAATGAATAGTCTTCGCAAACTTTTTCGTTTCCAACATTGGTCTCTCCCGTTAGTTTGCACTAACAGAGACTGACGTGACATGTCACGTTGAAGACAATTTGGCAAAAATCTGAAAACATTTGAAATATCGGGAGTTTTAAACCTCCTCTAAAGAAGTTATTATTATTCCTCATCATACTCATCCTTATTTAATACTACAGGACACAACTCTTGTTCCATGCCAAATGCTCACACAATCATGCATTGATGCACTTTCACCGCTGCTGTGCGTGAAGGCTCATTCGTCGTCGTTATGGAATAAGGCTTTGTTATCGTCCTTATTCGTGAAGCCTATGTCAATGCGGCAAGGATATAGAACAATAGGATGATCTGTACAGGATAAATTTGGATCTGTTTTTTCTCCCTCCACATTTCCATCTTCATTCGGAAAACAAATGTGTACACCTCATTTTGTAGTGTTGCGGTCATACATAGTAGCAATGCTTTGTTAGGGAAAGAAAGCGTGTTCTTCTTCATATTTTCTCAAATGTGTATCAACCAAAAACGTTATTGATTAACACTCTTCTCAATATGTATATGAAATTCAACCTTTTAGAAGAAGCACATCTATACTGTTTGATGAAATGCTTGAACATAATGTTGTTTTGGGACAATTATGTTATATGCTTATGATTACTTTTATGCTAAGCTCAATGATCAAGCTTTAAAGCTTTTGATTTTCATGATTAGTGATAGTGTCAAGCCTAACACGTGTACTTTCTCATCCGTTTTGGGAGTCCGTGAGATCTTATGTTATATGATCTCTAACAACTGCATTCTCTAGCACTGTGAAAGTAGGGTTGGAGTTTGTGTATTTGTTAGGACTTAAGAGTTTTATTATTGATGCTTACTCAGAGTTGGGTGATTTTTTGGAAGCTATTGGTGTTTTTTTGGTGAGATGGTGAGACTATGTTGTTGGGAATTCCATTATCCTTCTTTTGCTCAGGAGTCAGCACAATCATGGGGATGAAGCTTTATGCCTATACAAGAGCGTTAGGAGAAAGAGATTTCCGAAAGATTAGTCAACACTCACGAGTGTTTTGAGAGTGTGTTCTAGTTTGTTATTTTTTGATTTAGGGTGGAAGCACATTGTAATATGGCGGGAGAAATGACTCGGGTGTTTTTGCGTTTTATCGTAAAATATTGTGGATAGCAAGAGTCGCTATCGACTTTTCTTTTATTCAATAAAGGAAAGGGTGAAAAGAACAGGAAAGACGTTTCGAGATATTTTCTTTAGTTCGGGGGGTAGGTTATGAAAAGGGAAGATGTTAGCACCCTTTTCATCCGTAATTGTCTACAGGCTCTTAGTGCTTGCTAGATCACTTTTGAAATTGCTTTGTTTGAAATGTGTTTTGTGGTGCGTTTTGAAAGTATTTTGAAAACGCCTTTGTTTCGGCAAACTTTGTAATGATTCTCGTCTCTATAAGAATGTATACAAAGTGTTGGTTTTGAAAATAGTTCAAAGAGATGTTTGTTTTTGAAGATGTTTTGAAAGTGTAAGTGTGAAAATGGTTTTGATTTGTAAGCAAGCAACTACGAGCGTCCTACCTACTCAAAAGGTTTTTGATCTTTTCCTCCTCCTTTAAATGTTGATATCTTACCATTGATTGGTAAGAAGCCCCATTATTGGATGTGAAGGGACGGGTGTGGGTCAAACGTATAGTCATAAAAGCCAACTTAGGAGACGTTTTAGAAATTTTTGTAAGGGACTAGTCCGTCTATCGAAGGCAACATCGAGGGACATCGAGGGACTACGATCTTTCTATCGAGGGTCTTTGCTAAAACGCCTATATTCGAGGGACATGACTATTTTCCGAGGCAACAAAGCGAAATTACCCTAGAGGTGCATGTGTGAATAATGTGTTTGATTGCATGCATTTTTGTCTTTTGAGATTAGGATTTTCTAGCGGTTGATTTTATCTTCCCATACACACCCTAATTACTAATAATTTATATTAAAACGGTAAATTGCGGAAATTAAAATCCTAAGCTATTACATCACTAGGGGAGTGGGGGTACAATTTACAAATGGGGATGAAGTAGAAACTTAAGTATTACAACCATATCGAATAATAATGAAGACAATGTAAAAACAGTGTCAAATAAAGGAAAAATGCATTTTGAACTGTTATGTGTCAACACATGCTGCTATGCATCGATACATAGCTTTCCTTTCCCCTTCCAAACCAAACCAACTTAGTATAAGTCGGTGCATAAAGGGATGTGTCGACTCGTATGCCTGTTTGTATCGACACATACGCGTTTTGTGTCGACTCATGCACCTTTCACCTTTCTGTTTTAGGGCCTGGATAATAGTATGAGTTGATGCATAAGGCTATGTGTCGACTCATACCCTGTTTTTTCACTAGAATGAGTCGACCCAAGTGGGTATGTGTTGACTCTTATTATAGTTTTTTTCCTTAAACATTGTTTTATTGCCTGCATGGGTCAGTTTACAGTATGTAATTGATAAACATAAACAATAAGAAAATGGTTAGCCCAAAGGGGATAATGATTACTACATTTTATCTTTAAAAATAAATCATGTATGAAAGATGAAAAGCTCAAAGTTAAGAAGACTTACCTTGGGACTGCACTTGGTGTTTTAAGCCTGAATACTTTTCCAACTGCTGTGATGGCTCCAATGAATCTCCATGAAGCTGTCCTAAACTGTTGAATCACACTAACTCAGTCAAGTTGTACAATACTATTTTTGTGTTTGGAGGGTGAAGATAATGACACTACTAAAACTATTCTTGTGTTTGAACAATCTCTATGTGATAAGGTGTTTGGTTTATGGGAGAGTTTGTAAGGTGGAATAATGGATTGAGGGTTTCTGTTTTGAATGAAAGTAGAGATGGTTTTTTTTGAATGAGCAAAGATTACAAATAATATTGTTTTTCTGCTCAAAACTCTCTATTCTCTCTCTAAAAAAACCACCCCTACCCCTTGTGTGTTGTGAAAACAGTTTATTTATAGAGGAAGTTTTGCTGGGATTTTGGGAGGGAAACAAATAACAATTTGAACTGTTTGGGTATGTTGTTTTCATGGCTTTTTTGATGCAGCTCTTATATGCTAATTTAGTGCAAATATGGGGCTGAGGTAATGCAGGCTTGGACTGGGTTATGAGAAGCTTAGCAGGGCTGTTTTGCAGCATTTTTGGAGTGTTCTGGCAGTGTTTAGAGATAGCATAGCAGGGTTGTTTTGTTCAGGACAACAGACTATCTTCTAAACATGATTTTGAGCTGTTATATGGGTAATACAGAAGGCTCGGATAACATTGTTTGTAGCATGATACAAAATATGGTTTGTGGACCAAATTGTGCAGATTGTGACAAAGACAAAGCATGCTTATGGGCAGCATAGTGGCAAGGTTTGAGTCAAAGGGGAAGAGTTCAAACAAGACCAAACCTAAGATTTGTACTGTTGCAAAAATGCCACTTTATAATAAATTGAATTATTTGTAACATCTTGAATTATTTGTGACATCTTGAATTATTTGTGACATCTTGAGTTATTTTGAATTGTAGTGAAAAGATGTCATGAAGCAATGAAATTAACAAGTATAGAAAATACTTAGAAAAATTTCCAAGTCTTGCAGAGTTGGATTTTTGACTCTCTTGATTTTTTATGATCAAATTTTATATTTTGTATGTCTTGATGAAATGTGATTTTTGGGGCTCAATTTTGGTCAAAAAGTCAAAGTTTGACTTTTTAGTGCACAATTGACTTTTTCCACCAGTTGACCGAATTTCATCTATCAATCAACTGATCTTAGGAGATGAATTGAAATATGAGTTTGGGTCAAAATGACGCGCTTGGATCCTTGAGATCATGCTACCAACCAATAAGTCAGGTATTAGGTCAAAAATCACAATTCGGTCATTTCCAGTCAAAACCCTAATTTTGCCCATTTTGCTCTTTTGATAATTTGAATGACTTTCTTGGAAAATTGTGATCCAAGACTTGAAACTTGACAGAAGTAATCCTGAAGGTCTATAATGATCTATGAAAGTCCTTTGAAACATCAGAAGTCCAACTACCTTTGTACAAACTCAAACCCTAATTTGAGGCATCAGTGTTGAGGAGATTGTTTGACCTAGTCGATGCTTGCGTAAGCTTGAGTCATTGAAGATATTTGTAGGAAATATCTTGAGAAGTGGGAGGGAAAATTTTGGGGTACAACAGCTGCCCCTGTTCAATCTTCTTAAACCTAAAGAGTTAGATTGGTGAGTCCGCCATTCGTGACTTGAAGGTGGAAGATGATTGAACACTAGAGTGCCCAAAAATTTGCACTCGATGATGTGGTGGTTAATTGTGTCAGGAATGGGCTTATAGATTCCATTTGGAGAGGTGATGGAGAGTCGTCGGAGACGGGCTTATATATGCCATCCAAAATAGATGTTGACTTCATAAGAGGTCTCTTTATGGGGATTCCTGTTGTTTGAGGAAGACTCCGCTAGGGAATGTTGGTTTCTGTTTAAGGGAATAAAGTCTAGGAGATTTAGTTGTCCATTACTCTATTGGGGGAGCTATCTGTTGGCTGGAGAGATGAAAGTTAGTCGTTATTTGGTCGAAATCCAGGCTTCACAGTAACTTGCCGAGGATAACAAAAGTTGACTGTTATCTGCTCGTATTCCAGGCTTCACAATGATCTACTGGGGAATATGAAATTAAACTGTTATCTGGTCAATTTCCAGGCTTTGCAGTAAAAATAAAATTGAACTGTTATCTGGTCGTACTCCAGGCTTCACAATAACTCAAACTGTTATCTCGTCGAAATCAAGGTTTCGTAGTAAAAATGAAATTGAACTGTTATCTGGTCATACTCTAGGCTTCACAGTAACTCAAGCTGTTATCTGGTTGAAATACAGGCTTTAGTGACTTGAACTATTATCTGGCCGGGTCTAGGCTTCACAGTGTTGTAAACTGCTATCTAGTCGAATCCAGGCTTCACAATGTTGTAAACTTCTATCTGGTCGGACTCCAGGTTTCACGGTGATTGATGAGCTGTTACTTAAGATAGTTATCTTGTCTTATTTTAGGGATTAATCTGGAACTTGTTGAAAGTTGATGATGATGATGTTTGTCTGTTTGCAAACTTTCCTTAAAAGGTAAAGAATTAGCCGTATGCAATATCATGATGCATGGCACATATTGTGTAATGATGTTCTCAAAATGATTGAGATTGTGTTGTATATATTTGGTATGCATATGCTATGATGTTTGTAAAATGATGTATGAATGCAATATATGAACTGATCAATCATTCTTTGTAGCATCATTGAATTGAGGGAAAATAAATCCCTAATTTAGGATGGGGATGAAG